AATGAACAGAGAATGAAGGAGTGGTCAAAGGAATGGAATGATGAAGTAAGGAAGGGTAGTAGTAAGAGTCAGCACACATATAGTCCATAGACAGTGCCCCTGAGGGACAGAAGTCCTGAGTTCTAGTACAGAAGGGTGCAGAACCCTTGGAACTGAAGGTAAGAGAGTGGAGGATTGTAACAAAAGTGCTAGAATCAACTAGAACATTAAGTGACAGTGTAGTTAATTTTGATTTCTCTAGCTGATAGAAAGTCAAAGTAGAAACCAGCTAGTGCTAACCAATCATATTCTCAGAGTACTTTGTTTTTAATTAGGCATATATAGTGTGGTAATACTTCAGACCAGTCCTTAAGACAGAGTAATAACTACTGTAAGAGTGTTTAAAAAAAACTAATATTATGTATGTAAGCAAATCTATAACTAAGACTCATAAATTGATGTAGCTGTGATGATCCGAGACATGTTTCATCAAATTGCATCACATTGCACCTTTACATGTTCTTTAAACTGACTACCTTGCCAGGCTGCAATTCTATTGTGGGAAAACCAGCATTGTAAAAATTGCATATAGAGGACTTGTCTGCAGTATAAAAGTATGAGCCTCTTGTCATGTTGCTTCAATCAATAGCACATTCAATACTATGGCAAGTGACACAGTGACACATACAAGTACAAGATACAGAATAAAAGTTACAAGTAATTGGACAAGCGATTTCGAGCAAGACATTTGTGTCCATAATTCCAAAATCTGCAATCCCAACACAAGCAGGTGTAGTGGTGTCGGCCTTACATTTAAAGCTACTGTAAAGAGCAATCAGGTAAGCCATTACAGTAATCATTTATCCGACAAATTCAACATTAACTATTCACATAGATGCTCGAACTCAGCAATTTCGAGAAGATCCTTCTTACTGGGTCACCAGAGGTTGTTTTGTTTGACAATGGTGGTACACTTTATTTGCAGCTCCCAGAGGAGTCAGGTAGTTCCAATACAGTAACAGGAGCACTGAATGGGAGACAAATTATATCGGCTACATGCACGAAAATTGATGCTAAAGAATACGATTTCAAGAATTCAGCAGGCTCTACTTATATAAGCTCACCAAAATAAAGTACTAGGTGATATCTAAAAGGCAATTATGGTATAGAGTATACAACATAGTCTTTTTAAGCCAAGTGCTAGTCGAAGGCACTAATGTTATTGTACTTTAAGATATTACACATAATTTCTATTCCCTAGGCATTATTTGAGCAAGTATCAATTTGTGTAAGCGAAATATACTGACATAACATTACATTCAGCACTCTGTTAAGTATATATTTGCAAGAGATTTTACGAGCTCCTGTACTGCATTTAAGAGTGGATCGAAAACAGTAGAGGGATAGATACTGACCACTCCTGCTATTGTTTTCTCAAATTGATAGACTAGTACTGTAATTTTCATGTTTTCTGTTTAAGTTGGTAGGTAATAGTACCTATTTAACAAATGCACTATTCTTGATTGAACAAACAGTAACAAGCAGCCAAGTTTCTTTACCATATTGTCAGAACTAATTCAACAACCTCCCTATTATTGTGATTATGACAGAGTGCAGAGCTAAAAGCAAAGCGAATTTCATACATCAAGTCTAGTTATATTATAATATAACCAACAACACCAGGCCGCCAATTAACAAAGTATTCAAGGACTTCCTTGAACGCAACATTTACTTAAACACTTGCTCCATTGATGCTCCAGGCGTCATTGAGTCATTGACTCGGATTATTTATCACCAGCACACATGCACACATGTTCTTTCATATTTTATAGATGATACCTTTGCATACATGAGCATGGTGAGCTTCATGGAAATAGATCATACTGAACGATGGGAGTACTAATTCTCGCAAAGCATCCCTGTATGGTTAAGAGAATTTGAGGACAGTCGTTAGGGAGGGACTTCATTAGTTGATGTTAACAGTATTTAGACCATGTTTGCATCCTTGGTTTCCCTGTAAACTGATTGTTCTGATGTGTAGAATACAAAAATAGAAACATGAACATTGCTTGTACAGAATCTGCTGGCTTATAAAGCCATATGTCCTTGTAATGTTTTCACCCCTCAAGTTATCAAGTGATATAATATGGCAAGCGGTACAAATATACAAAATATAAAGTGAAGTTTGTAAGTCCATGGGCATCGGCTTTCTCCCAGGACATTTGCGTTCGCGATTCCCGGCTCTGTGATCCAGGGACAAGTAGGCGATATGGCGCAGGGTTGTCTCTCAAAGCCGCAGTAAGTGGTGACCAGGTAAGTTAATTGTCCATGTAAACATTAGTTTTATCAACCGACTGTCTAAGCAGAGTCTCAAACTTGATGAATTCAAGAAGGTCAGCCTTCTCGAGTCGCCACAACATGTCACGTCTACTAGTGGCGATACACTCGACGTGCAGCTCCTAGAGAAGCCGAGTGATCGAGTTGAAGCGAGAGGGTCTCTGAATAACCGTCAGACTATAACAGCTGTTTGCAAGTATGTAGGGACTGAAGAATGCAAGTGCAGAAATTCTGCATATTCCACTTATATAAGTTCGCCGACGTAAATAACTAGTGAGATTGTAGGCATAGATGAATTCTACTTGGAATGTTGGTTAATGTAGATCTATCAGGGTCCAATCTTCAGGACTCTATTACCCAAGAGGTTACAAATAATGGCTGTTATCGAGTCCTGACTTTGAGTGAAATTCATAAAAAATACAATTTGTGTAATGTAGCAGTACATTTTGCCAAGGCCTGTGTCAGGAAGCAGTGTTAGAGAATCTCAGCAAGCAAGCCAGTAATACAGTCTTTTCAAGGGGACGGAAGATATGGAGCAGAATATAGATCGACGATTTCAGCAGAGGATTTATAGGAGTCGAGACCTGCCACTAGGTCCTGCTACAGTTGTACAGTGTCTGCTTTGCTTGGGAGTCTTTCAGCAAGAAAACCATTCCTAAAAGGACAGTATTAGCTTCATGATAGCATACACACAGATTTTCTCCATAACGCGTATTGCTATGAATAAGTCAGGGTCTAAAAGGAAGACGATATTTCGTGGCATGGCATGTGATGAAAAAAGAGGATAGCGAGCCTGCCTAATGAGGCAAGTAGCGAGTGCGAATAAAAGTTTATTCTATTTTTAACGGACTGCGGCACGACTTCCTTTGGTTGTGCTTCCTCTCCTCTTACTTCTCAACCGTCGGCCCGCCGCAGGTGCAAGGCTGTCCTCTTAACTGGCGGCGAGATATGCTGTCGTGAACTTCAGTGTTTTCTTTTCTCTCTGACCACAGGATCCGAGTCAATTCCTCAACTGACGTGCTGTGTCGATAAGAAAGCACAATACTCGGGAACTATTCCTTCTTAGCTTTTCGCATCGGTCTATACATGAAGAAATGGACGGACTCTCAGAGTATTGCAAGCTCTGTTGTACGGCAAAGCCGATACGATATGTTATCGCTCTTGTCGGCTTGATGGCATTTGTTAGTGACCCGTTTCATTTTTTCTGCAGACACTTGTCCTTACATTTCGGCAGACAAGCCTGTATATGATATCATCATCAGAAAGACCATTTTTGATACAGAAGGAGGTGGTAGAGCCAGGAATTATTGTCGGAGATGGCCTGAGATTCGTTCCGAAGCCGATTCAGCCAATAGACGTGAGAGTATCGCCTCCTGCTGACCCAGTCACTCATCGGGCAAATGCAACACTGTTGATGCTCGCACGCAACAGTGACATCGATGGAGTTGAAGCCTCTATGCGGTCTATCGAAGAGCGATTCAATCGCAAGCACAACTACCCGTGGGTTTTTCTTAACGAGGTGCCATTTACGGAAGACTTCATTGCTCGTGTGCGCGGGATGACAAGTTCGAACGTCCAGTTTGGACTCATTCCACCTGAGCATTGGTACCAACCAAGCTGGATCGATGAAGAGCGCGCTAAGAAGGGCAGAGTCGATCTACAAAACGTAAAAGCGGATTGGCCTATACCCTATGCTGGTAGTGTACCCTATAGGAATATGTGTCGTTTCAATTCTGGGGTAGGTTTCCTTATTGCGCGTACTTTCTGCGATTCTCACAGCCTTTCCAGTTTTTCTTTAGACACGAGCTTTTGGAGCAATACAAGTGGTATTGGCGAGTCGAACCAGGTGTTAGCTTCTCTTGCAACATGTATTTCGACCCGTTTGTCTACATGATCGAAAACAATAAGCGGTACTCCTTTACAATTGCGTTGAAGGAGGTTGCGCCAACAGTTCCAAGCCTCTGGGATTCTGTGAAAGGTATGACGTCATCGTATCTGCAACGACATACGGCTAAGCTACTCGTATGGTAGAATTCCGTAAGACATACCCGGAAGTCGTTGCAAAGGACAATGCATTTCGATTCATCACAGATAATAATGGCGAATCATATAACTTGTGCCACTGTACGAAAACTTGTCTGCGGATATATTTTGAGCTAAAAAGACTAATCTTGTCTCTTCCGTCTCAATCCCAAACAGTTTGGTCGAACTTTGAAATCGCGGATCTCGACTTCTTCCGCTCGCCAGAGTATCTTGCCTTCTTCGACTTCCTAGATGAGACGGGTAATTTCTACTACGAGCGCTGGGGAGATGCTCCCATACACAGTATAGCCGCCGCCCTCTTCCTGCCACGCTCGCAGATTCATTTCTTCAACGAAATTGGATACGAGCATCCGCCATTCCAGCACTGTCCCAGGGGAGAACCACACCATCTTGGAGAGTGTTCGTGTAAATTTACAAACAACTATGGTATGTTAGGGGCCCATTTCTTCTTATGTGCAAATACCTCATGTTGTCTTTACCAATACTTCCCTGCAACGCCTGATAGACTACACTGGGTATGTAATACTTCCACTTTACGTGATTCGCATGGAATGCTTAAATCTTACTTTCCCCAGAGGATCCTGCCTTCGAAGATTTGAACGGCTTTTTCCGAAAGGAAAGGTTGGATAGCTATCCCCACTGCTTTGAGTGCTGACATTCTGGCGAACATTGAATTAAGACACTGTAGATTTCCTATAATGTTATTCTTGCCACCTATACCCGCGTATACGAACATTATCACATACATCTTATTGTCTCTGATATAGATATTGCATTTCCTCTTCCTTAAATGCTTGTGTAATGTGTCCTAACCCTAACAAGGCACGTCCATACCCTGTTGTATACAGCTGTGAATCGAGTGAAGTTAAAGCATAATGATCGGCCCGAGTACCAGTCAGCATTACGGACAGCAGAAATTTGCGAAAATCCGGCCTGGTGCTAAGGCCTGAAACGGCGTATAATCAACAAGCGCAATGCTCTCCTCACTGACCAGTATGCCATTCGTTATAGGAAACCGTTTTCCTTGCAATAAGGCCTGTCCGAGACGAGGGTTGGTCATTACCACAGAATCGCTTATCTAGTTGGAGTGCCGCCCATATTCAGTTTAATAAATCAAATATGTTAATGTTTTTGGGACGATATGGGAAACCAGTAGCAAGAATAGAGCACTTCGAATCAATCGAAGTGATCCTGATGGTTTAGTTTGAGAAAAGAAGTTGTTTGTTGTTTGATGCGGTGTTTCGGGTGGACACTGGACAACGCAGTCCCTTCTGGATGTTCTTGTCGTGTAAACTTACTTGCGGTCGAGTTTTCGGAGTTTCCGAGGCGGTACCACAGCTAATGCGTGTGGTTTGTAGTACGAATTGAGGCGTTGTGGTATTGATGCATGTCAAGTTGTCAACCCGCTTTTGGAATTCCATCTGCACGTCATGATACGATCATACGGGTTATAACCAGCGTCATTTGCAGGGCATTTTCATTGGTAAACAAACTTCGGTAGCGCCGGGCTGGATTTACGTCGTTTCTGAGTGGAGACATTCCCCGTTGATAGCACGGGGCTGGAAAAACGGTTACAAAACAATTGAACGGTATAGAGCCGCGTGCTAATGCGGTGCTAACGAACGGAAGTAGATCAGGTGATGAACAGGTATGGAAGTGCCTTTTGGAGAGGCACAGCTTCCGACAAGAACTTTGCAATTCAGAAGGTACGATGTTTCAGGGCGGCTGTGTAATAGGACAGGGGCGAGGTGAGAGACTGGACAAAGGGGGGATGTCAGCATACGCGAAACCTTACAGAATATTTATGACATACAGAAACCTTGTGGGATTCAAGGGACGTTGAGTTAATTCGCTCTCTTCGCCGCATTCTCCGTGCAAGCATCTTGTCTTTATTTGATGCATTTGTGGATAAAGTTAGCCTGCCCCAATCGCGTTCATCTACTTGCCCCGTATGCCTGATTTTCGGCAACTTAGTCATGGCCAGTAGGCTTCGGATGCAGGTGCTATCGATAGAACTTTAGAAGCTGCGAAGCCGTCAAATGCGATGAGAGTGAGACGATTGCTGAAGAAGCACGGCTACGTTTAGACAACCCTCAGTAGACGAGGATCGACACGAGGCAAGCGATGAAGCACAGCCAGCTTATTTATCTTACTCTGATAAAAAGTAGAGTATAAGCAAAAGACAGCGGTAGCTGTGCAGACTGCATAGCCTCATAGCGACCTCCTTGTTCGAACAAGAAGAGATCTCAGCTCGATACCGTCGTTTGAAAAGGTATAAGGAGGGATACGAGGTGGACTTGCGCCAATTGGAACCTCTCAGTTCAGACGAGAAAGTCTATGCCGAGCAAAGTTTAAAGTCACGTGTACGACCCTTCAGGTGATTCGTAGCGCCGATCATAATTACGTAACACCTGGGATCACGCGCACTCCTCTTTCCAGCAGGTCATCGTTCCCTCTCTCGTCTCATCCTCCATCTTGCTGCTACTATTTATCTTTTCCTTAATTTACGTGCGCATTGTGTTGGTAAGAACAGCCTAGTATCACTCAAACTAATATAATTTGCTCCTCTAGATCCAGAGGGCGGCATCTGCAGATATCTGCCCCAGCTCCGTTCGCGTCGCAGCATAGCAAATCACAACTTCCGTCACTTCTCCGGAACCCTCGCAAAACGCACAGAGGCAAGAGAGACCTATACTTCTAGCTGTATCTGCTCGAGGACGTATCATTTAAAAGGCCGGTAGCAACCCGTGTGTACCGTTTTCACCTCCTCTACTTTACATCCTATCGGTCGACTGAATTTACTTTCGTCGCTGTCAGCGACAGCTCGGAAACTCGGCCCACCCTTAGTAGTCCTAATAATACCGGGGCATCCTTACAGTTTCCTGGCCTGGCCATTGTTATTGTGCTCGCTTTCTCAGAGCAGAACACGAAGGGCATCTCGGAGTTGATCTGACGCGCGCATTATTGTGAGCGCTAATGATCACATTCTCACCGAAGTATTCGTCGCTAACCAGTACTTGTTCGCGTCTGTCTATTACTGCGCGCATCATTTTCTAGCAATCTGCTTGCGAGAATTGCCACGTTGCGGCACGTCCAACATTTATCAGCACATCAGTTCCCTTGCACCTGCCTGGATCCGATTTGGTACAACAGCGTCTGCAGGCCGAGCATTGTCACGCCTTGTCATTTGTGAGTACATACATTGATCCACGCCTATTTATAGTTCGGTTCAGTACGGCAATCGCCAGTACTGGCCGTTGCGATTGCGGAGTTAGATCACTAATGACGGTGTACTTGTCATGTGTCCTCCTAACGTTCTCATTCGGCCATCACAACATAATCTGTGCTCATACTTTGTCTTCCCCAATCCCTATTACAGATTCAGTAGCATCGCCTAATCCCTAAGTAATTCGATTTAACAGAACAGTTCATTGGTATTAGGTTGGTCTCAGTGAAACAAATATGGAGTTTCCAATCTTCATCAACTGACAGCCCTTTTGCTGTATTTTCCGGGCCAGAACTCTACGGCAGAGATATCAACCGCTCATTCATCGCGGCACTTCACTCCATCTTTGCAGGAAGGCACACCCAACGTTTTTCCTCGACACAGACTCAGAGCCTTCACCAAATGCATACATCCCAAGAGTTGCGTCAAGGACAACATGCTCATTTCCTCCTCACCTCGTCACATCACATGCCCGGGCAATACAATATGCGCCAACGGGAATTGCAACTCGAGAATTTCCATGACCAAGGTGGGATGGAAGGGTTTGGCATGCTGCCGTACGGTTCCTTGCCTCAAAATACCATTCAGAACGGTGCTGTTCTTGGTGTAGGTCAGGGACCCGGAAATGCCGAGCCAAGATATACTGCACCAACTGCAACTGCACTCGCTGCCCGCGCCTATCCAACAGGCGCTTTCCAATTTGGACAGCAGCTTGGTAACTCCTCCCAAGGCTCAAATACGAGCCCTGATTCTATGTCGAATACCCAGCAGCCATTCGATACTGCTTTCAATTTCGTGTCTGCATCCAATCCAGCAGGCACAAGAATCACCGAGGGTGTTTCGCCCCATGAGCAATATCACCAACAGATGCAATCCTCTCAACACGGACAGGACTATCTTAATACAGGTGGACACGCGCCGCAGCATAAACGGCGTCGCGAAGACACTGGGCTTGAAATGTTTACGTCGCCAGATGCGTCAGGGTCTGGCGACGAAGACGGAGATTTCGGAGGTGGATATGGCTATGCCTCTTTTGGAAATTACAATGGAGGACTTGCTCAAGGAGGAATGGGTTTGCAATCACCCGAAATGCTTTCTCAAGTTCATCAGGGTCTAGGCTCTGATAGCCAGGGTACACGCTTTCCACCGAATGCGGATCAAAGAGGCGGCCAAGCCCAACAGTTGGGGCCAGATGGCAAGCCGAAACCGTACGTATCTCGAGCAGTCTCTTCGGAACATCAATTGAAATTTACCTTGAACTGCCAGTGTACACAGGGCTGCTTGCGTGCGCTGTAAAAACTTGAAGGTGCGCTGTGAGTTCCCAACCGACCCGAACACGTGCCGTCGCTGTCTCAACGGTGGCCATGAATGCGCTATTCCCGGTAGAAAAAAGAGAAGGCAGCCTCCGTAAGTTAATCTCAGTCGCTATGATAAATAGAAAATTAATGGGATGTATCGCATAGGAAACGTGAGCACTTGCTGAACCAGATAAGGGATCAGGCACAGCAAATAGACAAACTCATGCAGCAACTCGAGGAACATCGACGTGCTCGCCTCAATGGTATATCATTTCTAGTATTTGTCATGTCACATGTCTAACTGACTATTTCAGAACCGGCCCGCCTGTCACTATCTAACACTCCGCTTGGCGTGTCCGGTACAACACCAGGTGCTGGCCGAGCATCCTCGTCTTTCGTTCCCGGAGGTGTGCCCAGACCAGATGTACAGGCATGGATTGAACGCGCTCGGGAATCCATTCAAGCAATCGGCGCTTTCGTTGAGGGTGAGGAAGACATCGAAGAAGAAAGGGAGGATGAGGATGGTGATGACGCATACGAGGTCGACGACGAACAAAACGACGAACAGACATGGAGAGAACCTAATGGCGAGCACGACACAGATACGGACGGTAGCATCGCTATCGAAGGACCAGATGGCACAGAAGTCGAGGAAGACAGAAGCTCGATGCGACATGTTTCACCAGCTACGACCGTTCGAAGTGCATCTCGCGAGGGTTCGGCGCAGCCCCGTAGGCGTGGAAGTCGACGTAAGACACCGCAACCTCTTCCTGCGACGCTTCCTTCGACCTCGGCCGCCCCGATGCGGTTAATTGCGGGCCTTAGTCTGAGCACTACCGTTCGGCATGGGAGCAAGAGTCCGAAGAGTGCAACTACTCAGGCGATGAGCAACCATAGCAGAGAAAGTAGCATCGAACTCGATCTTCCAAGTGCCTCGGCAGCTAGCTCATCGCCAAAATCTTCTGGCAGGAGCACAGAGAAACCTCAGACTAATGGACAGGAGGCCGGTGCTGAAATGCAGGACGAAACAACGCAGGAGTCGAAGAAAGACGGAGAGTATGGTGCTGTTGCACCAGGATTTTTCAAACCACGACGCGGTAGTTTGCCGGATAGTTCACGTTTAGCTCCCGCGAGGCACCCCGTTCCTCACATTCTCATGCGCGGCATCGTTACTCCTCAAGAGGTCGAGATCCTGTTCAAAATGTATGTCAAATCACGCCTTATGCTTTAGCTGAAGCGTTCTAACTGTGTAAACTAGTTACTTTGATAAGATGAACTTGTCTTGTTCCCTTCTCGACCCAGTCCTTTGCACTGCGCAGAGGACGTACTGGCGCTCACCTTTCTTGTTCACTGTCAGTAAGTAGCACGTCGCTTCTATTTGTTTTCTCGTCTAAGCATTTCCAGTTTGTGCTGTTGCTTCTCGCTATTACCCCGACCATCCTGGTCTTTATGAGGAGTTAATAACGTATGCCCAGCTTGCAGCAGGAACCGCATTGATCAGCGGCCCGAAGACCGTTGAAACTGTTGCAGCGTATATCTTGTTGAGCTTGTACCCGGCCCCTATGCGGAGATGGGAAGAGGATCGTACATGGCTCTATCTCGGCTTGGCGATTCGCGTTGCCACGGATCTGAACTTGCATCATCCGACTTCCACGAAGCCTCGTAATGAGTTGCATGAACGCGCACTACTGAACCGGACGCGGATATGGCTCAATTGCTGCAACCTTGACATATCGACGTCAAGTTGGCATGGGAAATCAAGCACAATCCCATCGAAAGATTACATTGCGAGTCATTCTGAGAACTGGTACGAGACGTCGCAGTACAACTTGCCGAATTTCGACATTCAGTTATGTGGATACAACTACGAGCTCCGACTGATGCGCGCATTTAAGGAGAAAATCTACAACAACCCAAATCACCCAACGGGCCTGAATAAGGTTGGTGTAACCCCCTGTCCTACTTAAGCATTATAAGTCTGACATAAACCCGCAGGACGTTGATTTTATTAGCCTTTCATCGGAGACGGACCAACAGCTCGTGGACAAAGAGCAGGAATGGAACGAGCGTCTTCGTGAAAAAGTAGATCCTGAGGATCCGCAAGGGAGATTCAGGAATAGCTTGGTCAAGCTTGCGTATCGTTACGGTCGACTTACCGTTTTGTCCTTCGGATTCCAACATTCCTTTGGAAAGGGCAGTCCTGGTAATCCGGAACAACTATCGTTTTTCGACCGTGTATGTCTCTTACAGTTGGATTTTACCAATTCCTCTCTAATCATTGGATTATAGTGCTATCGCGCAGCGGCGGATGTTTGCCGCGTTTTCATTGACGAGCTGTCAACACAAAAGGAGTACATCCGACATGGCCCTGAAGCACAATGCGTCTTCGTGACGTTTGCATCTGCATTCCTTATCAAGGTATTCGTTACTTTTCTTCCTGTTTACAGCCTCGTTACTCATAGAATGCAGCTCTTACATCCCAAATATGCTTTCTATCTGAGACTGGAACAGCGGAAAGAGATCGAGAGTCTCGTACGTGGGATTATCGACTTACTCAGCTCGCCAGAGGTAGTAGTCGACGACAGACATAGTCCAAAGCTGTGGTCAAGCTTCCTCGACGGACTCCTTAACACGCCCATGGCAAAGGTAGAGCTTTCCCCGAGCGCAATGAAGGGTGGACATTCACTTCCACGTCGTCCGGGGCGCAAACCGACTACTCAAACAAGTGGAAGTCCTTCGTCGAAACGAGGAAGCCCTTCACTGGCTTCACCATCTCAACTAGATGCAGGAAGCCCACCCGCTCAGTCTGCAAGCCCTCCTCGCGTATCCGACATGTATGTAACTTCACCTGCATCGGGAATCAGTGGTGCCACATCACCTCCGCCTGGATTACATCAAATGTCCTCAGACAGCCAATATTCGACAACTAACGATGCAACATCCAATATGGCATATGGCTTTGGGCAAAGCCAGGCACCACATGGTTACCAAGCGAATTCACAATCCATGATGGCTCCTCCTCAGGGACAACAAGGGATGTACGATTTGCAAAATTCCTTACAAATGAATGTGCCAGAATTCTTCCAGCCGCCATTACCATTTGACGGCGAGCTGCTGCAGTCGATGCAGTCGATGTCAGATTCGTCAGTCTGGCAAGGCATGTCAGGTAAGGCTTCACGTTTACTAGATTTCGTAGTCGCTTGGCAGCCGCTAACATCCTTTGCTAGGCTTCAATTGGATGGGAATGCTACAGTCGGCGGACCAAGATACTGCTATGCAAGATGTTCTAGCACCAGGAATGATGACATATGACATGGGGACAATACAATCCGATGGGACTCATTACCGGTGAATGAGTCGTCCGCAACAAAACTATGACGGTGTCTTCGTTTTTCTTTGTACATTCTGAATCCGCGTTCTATCTTTTTCCTGCCTTTTTCTTTTGTCTTTTCCATATTTTCTCTAGCGTATTACTTCTTTCTTGATTTAGTGCTACATCTGCTGAGTCTGCCTGTAACATTACATGGATATTCCGGAAATAAATGGGCTTATGCGAATGATAGATGAAGAATGCTTACATAATGAATGGCGTATTTATTATCTTTTAATGTGCAGTATGTCAAGATCCACTGTTGGACAGTCGAATTGTTCAGTGCCTCTCAGCAAGACAGTGTGATGTTGTACTTAATGCTACTGTGGCCTTTGATAATAATCACTCAATACTTATGTTTGTGCAGTACTATACTAGAACTACTTATATATAAGTGTGATAATTATACAGGAAAAGTTCACAGTAATACATGATCATCTGTGGCTTAGAAAGACTCGTTCAGACAGATGATGTTACTGACCTTTACTAGTACATCACTGTTTTAAAGTGTACTGCAAGCTTTATACCATTTAAAAGCTTCTCTAATAAAGTATATACATGTGTAGAGTCTCACATTTGTTATCTATCCTTAAAAACACATGTTTACTTTCTGCTATTTTTATTTGTTATTTATTTATTTTTAAAGTTTACTTCTACAGAATTGGTAAATTAGTGGCCTTGTTTAGCAAGAACACTGTCTCTTTTACACATATATTGTAATACTAAACTAATTGACAATACAACTCAACTCTAGCAAGACAAATGCACTAGGTATTGGTTAATCATTTAATATTTGTTTTATTCATGTCAGTATATTTTTCTATTATTTACCTGCCATTTTGTAAATATACTTAATGTTTCCAGTCACTCTGAATCTTAGTACTTATTTTCTCAATTTCAGGTTGTGTGATTTCTCTGTCTTGAGGAATCATGTCTATACATTTATGGATTTTGAGGAACTCTTTACACACTTTAACATTTGTAGTTGCCTTGGATATATACTTGCTCTTGCTTGCTTCAGCCTTTTGTAAGAAAGTACTCTGTACTGTAATTGCTGAGTCCAAAAGCTCTACAAGCTCATCTTGTTTGAGTTCTGTGATAGGTCTGTTTGAAATAGCAGCAAAGTCAAAATCATGGCCAGGGTTCCAAGAGCCACTCGAAAATTTCTCTCTGGCTTCTCGGCAGTCTCTGATAGTGTTCCTGTGCTCATGTATTCTAGAATCATGCATTTGTAGCTTGTTTTTGTACTCTCTCATAATCTTTTTAATGAGTGTAACCTTTGTGACAAAGTCTTTCCGGTCTTCTGGGTGAAAGGCTGATGGACGTAGTTGCTCATATACTTTCAAGAGATTCATATCTTCTTGTGTGAATTCCAGTGTGTTTGTTAAGCCTGTTGATCGACGAGAGTTTCTGCCTGAATCCTGACCAGATGGATGCCTGTTAACCCCAGCATTAATAATTAACGTGCCTTACAGAGCCTGAAGGCTTTATTACCTGCTGTGTACTCTTGCTGACTGGCTTTCGGGATCCATTCTCAAATATCTTGTAAAAAGTATTGGCTGCAAGTGGGTGTACAATCAGTGGAAGCCTTGTTGCAGAGTATTCACTCCGGCAAATTGCTTTGCCTATTTATTTTGCAGTCTATTTCCTGAGCATCTTCAATACACAGACCTAGCTTGGTCGCATTGTCTTTTTAATGAATACTAATGCAGTGGGTGCATTTGGGAATGAGGGCAAAAATCATGATCAATGATTGCTTAGTCATTCTGAAATTGCGAATTGAATTTATACAATGCATAGCTGTTTTAATTAGAGACAGTGTACTTTCCCCATCAAAAAATGCGTTCATAAAAAGACGTATGCATACGGTCATGTCAAATGCAATGTCAAAGTTGCCAAGACTTTGCTAGTCGGTGAATACGGCTTCGAGCAGTCTATATCAGCAAACAGGTCAAAAAGAGGTATGAGGGCAATTGTATGGCCGATTTTAACGGGTACGTCATTTTGCTTCTTGTGATATGTGCCCTCGAGTATATGGACACACCGCTAATAAAACCAGAATCAGTTAGCATAATCTAGTACATGCCGAGAAGTCACAAACATCAACCAGGAGAACGTAAGCTGAGCATGGAACTGCCATTTAGTCACGTTTTGTCCAAAGCGAGAAATGAACTGGAGTGAATGTGACAGTAAGGTTCTTGCAGTCACTGACGAGGTCTACTTTGCCCCAGCATTCGGCAAGGGTGATTAGCCACCTGGCGAGGCAGACAACTGTAGTGACTTGAAGGAGGAAACCCATCACGCTCTGGCACAGCCTTGCAGGATCTTCATGCGACGAAGGACGTCAATCTTGGCAGGATTGTATACCTGAAATGATGGCATGGCAAGAAGTCTGGGCGAGATGAGAAACATCTGCGCCACGGACACAGTGTCTTGTCCACCTGTTCTGCCTAGTCAGTGGTTGTGTACTGAACAGTCATAAAAGTGCACAGCTACGCAGGTACACCTCACAGGGCTGTGTTAGACTATTCTGCAGACGAAGAATATGGGAGTTTGCATTGTGCCACTCATCACACTGATTCACAGCAAGTAGCATGGTGACAAGGGAATTCGGCAATCACCGGGAAAGAGATTTTGCTTACGCCAACAATGTGCAAATAAAAGGCTTCAGAAGAATTTAAACCCTTTTAGATATCATGTTTTCGTCGTTTAAAGCGAGCAGCATTAAATGCTTAGGATGTACACGTATGGGTAATTGGGAGGACGACATCAACCCCTGCAGCTTTTTGAAAGGTGCCTCCGACTAAGCGTTACAAAATGACCAAAAACCAAGTTTCTGTATCACGTGCGAGGATCAACACAGTGTGCAAGGATTCGGTAGGTATGAAGGCAATTCGGTCAACAGAAGCTTATCAAAGTCAAGCAAGTGTCTTGATACACAGCCGATGCTTGGCACGGAGTAAAGGTTAATCGTATGCGGTGGATGCATTGAGGCAAGAAAGCCAAGGCAATCAGAGGTTCGGGACGAGACTTTTAAGTACTTGTCTCAGTTGTGGTTCGCGAAGGTCAATCTGATGTAGACACCACGCTGTCGAAGCTATCTGCACAGGATATGTTTGTCGAGAGCGAGGGAATTTTGAAAAACTTCTTTTTGCGTTGTATCTGCTGCTGGCTACATGTTGTCACGCGGCGGCGTGGTCGTGAAAACTTGTGATCCAAATGATCAGGCGGCCGATGAAGCCGTGAGATAAGAATATGGTCGGGGTGAAAATAGCGCAAGTGAGTGTGGTCTCCACAATCCGCCATCTCTCGCTTACTCCCCCTATTCGCCGTTGGAGCGGCAACGGCGAACGTGCGTCTTGGCGTCATATTGCTTACCGTTATTTCAAATTCACATTTTCTCTGTTTTATACTAGCCATTTCAATCTGGTCGGGACCGAGCGGAGGATTCCCGTCTTGACTATGTCGAACCACACAACTACCTATCCCCCGTCGAAGACAGACGATACAGAGCATGAACACAATCATGTTCGCTCAGGCCTTGAAGAATATGAACGTAGCTTGGAGGGGAGGCCACCTTGGATGCTGACAACCACTGAGCTGAAGTTGCTCGGGATAGCCGGGATTGGATTCTTTCTTGATGGTAAGCCCAGGACGTAAGAAGTAACATTTTATCTGTTGTCTGACACTACGCCAGCCTACGATCTTTTCATTATCAACGTGGGCCAACAAGCCATTACAGCTCTATATCTTTTTCAGTTAATTAATTTCATTTTAGCCTGTCGCGACAATGCTACAGTATCGGCTATACGGCGGAAATTCCCTTCCTGCAAACCTTGAGGGTTTTGTCAAGGCCAGTGCGAACATTGGAAGTGTCATTGGCCAATTTCTATTCGGATATCTAGCCGATGCGCTCGGACGCCGTCGTGTCTATGGCAAGGAGCTCATGCTCATTATCATTGCAACCATACTCTGCCTCACAACTCCGACCGGTTCTATTTCTCCAAATAGCTCTCTGATATATCTTGGAATGTTCCGGATACTGCTTGGTGTCGGTGTGGGTGGTGACTATCCTATGAGTGCGACTGTTACTAGCGACCGTGCTGTGATTCGGAGGCGAGGAGCGATGCTATCTTATATTTTCGCGAATCAAGGATGGGGTAGCTTCGTTGGTAGCATTGTCACCATGATCGTGCTCCAGTGCTATAAGAATGTGATGCAAGCAGGAAAGACAAGCAAGGTCGACGGCGTTTGGCGGATCGTCATCGGACTGAGTTTGATTCCAGCCTTTGCCACGCTTTACCAGCGCTTGACGCTTCCAGAAGCACGGAGGTATGAAGCAGCACGAAAGATGGAGGAGGAAGATGATGAACTGAAACGCGAGAAAAGAGCCCAACGACGAGAAGACGAAGCACGTGAGAAGGCAGAGAAAGGTATCGTAGCCGATGACAAAATCGTTCATGCAAACGGAAGCACAACGGGGAGCGGTTCATCCACACCGACAGACCCTTCGTCACCCCAGGCCAGCCCGAAAAAAGAGACACATACCCCGGAACAAATCATTGAGGAGGAGCAAGGTGTTGGCACTCGCGAGCTCACGAGACGAAAGAAGTCGCATTTCATAGAGTTCCTCGAGTATTTCTGCGAATGGCGTCATGCGAAGATTTTGATTGGGACTTCCATGTGCTGGTTTCTACTTGATATCGCGTTCTATGGTATCAATCTTAACCAAAACGTTGTGTAAGTGCTGGGCTAGCTCTTTTGTGTCGTTGTTCTAATATGTTTGTAAACTCAGTCTTGAGCAGATTGGGTTCGACGGTAATGAGGGCACACCGTGGGAAAAGCTGTTCAAGATTGCGACTGGAAACCTCATCATAACTGCTCTTGGATTTGTGCCAGGTAAGTTATCTGGTGAATTAATATCGACTCTCGACACGTTTGTTCATCTCGTTTGTTATTGAGGCTATTACGTAACCGTCTTCACTATCGAATACCTCGGCCGCAAGTGGATCCAAATACAAGGGTTCCTCTTGTGTGCACTCTTTTGTAAGTCTTAGGTCTGCAATTCCCGGAATTCTTTAAGCTGAATAAATTTTGTAGTAGGCATCCTTGCCGGGAAGTTCACGACGCTAGGCACCGTGCCGTTCATAGTGTGCTTCGCTCTATTGCAGTTTTTCTTCAACTTTGGGCCGAACACGACAACATACGTACGTACATAATTTCAACCTCGTGAGCTCTACCTAAAGTGGTCCCTCGGTATAAATTTATAGTGTTATCCAGCGGAGGTCTTCCCTACCCGCTTCAAAGCATTTGCACATGGGTTAAGCGCTGCATCTGGAAAGGCAGGCGCAATCATATCAGCGCTAGCGTTCAACACGCTTTCCAAGAAAATTGGGACGCCAGCTGTGTTGTGGAGTACGTCATCCTATCTTTCGAAAGCTTCAGTCATATTTATGGCCTACTTACTCATACATGTTTCCGGCATACAGTCTTTTTCGCGTGTTGCATTGCTGGTGCCTTTTTCACCTTGTTGTTACCCGAGGTAAAAGGTAGAGATGCAGATGTAGTCGAAGCTGAGGAGCTTCGCGCTGCTCGCGAGCAGAAGAGGGTAGCATAGGCGCCACATCCTCACAATCCTTGTCCGATTCAATTCCGCATGAGACACGGAATTGTGTTTCAGTGGAGACAGAGACACAAGTTTCTCTATACTGGTACTTCCACGTATACCAGCCCCGAAATTCATGGAAGGGAATAAAACGCTATGATATTTAACGCAGACGTGGGGTTCGATCTTGTACGATTTAGGAGTAATATTAATATTTTGAGATGCCACCCGATCTGCTATACGCGAAATAATAAAATCTGTCTCCTTTAACAGTAGTACTGCAGAGCAACGTGGTTTATTTTGTATCGAACAAGGTCAACAAGACAGTTGGGCCAGATTATGCTCGCATCCATCACTTCTTTATTGAGGCAAGATAAGTAAATCAGAAAATTAACTAAGCCATCTTCTATTACCCAGTGTCATCATAGATATGGGAATGCGAGTCATTTACAGACATGAATGTGATGGATGTCATCTATGTGCTTTACATGCAATTAGACACGCGCGATATACTTTTATATTGTGGGGCCAACGAATTACTTTGATCGATGCTAATCCGTCCCGATGCAGATGGCCGGTCTGGGACGACCTGTTCTCAAAGATTTAAGAGACTATGATTCTCATTTTGACATATCAACAATCCTCTGTGTACACTAACCAAACCGTGGTCGATGGGTTTTCTTATTGAGGTTCTTGGTAGGCAGAGAATGCATTGTGACCCTCTCAATTACCTGTATGTGTATGCAGAATACATGCTATACAGATAGAGAATTGATCGCTTTAGTTAAATAGTGCAGTTGCAAGAAGGCATATTAATATTCACTCCTCCCCCCTTAGAAAAGTCGTTCCGACATTATTTCTGATATGTAAAGCTTTTACCTGGATGGACTTTTTTCCCCGCAAAAATGAATTAGGATAGAATTGCCAATTCGCATGCTTATAATAAAGCTACAAACGTCGGCGTGAAGATACAGATACAGATACAGATACATGGATGAGTCGTGTTTCTAACACAGCAAAGGGCAATGCAATTCTAGGTCCATTTGGCCGATTTTATCTAAACCACATAATAAGGACGTCCTTCGTTCAAAATTATAACGCAGAGCCCCTCTCTACCATTCCGGGATCCACTTGCCCATTATATCCCATGAGGTGTTGCGGACTCAAGTCGCCCTTAGCATGGTTCCGACTCTGCCGGAGATCATACCAGAAGGAAAGTAGATAGAGCGTGAAAAGGAAGGAGATTGTCCACTCGACGACTGCTCCTGGGTTGGGTTTGGAATCGAGGAGAGCACCGAAGGCGATAGCAAGGATGATAAGCACCGTTGCATAAGCAGCTTTAAAAAGATACGCGATGCGGAGTTTGCGGAACCTGTATCCGAACGTTTTGTCAAGCCATCGGAACTGCAAGCATAGTGACGGTTATTACGCGAGTAAAATGGAGAGAATTCTTTGAGATGTGTTGCATACTTCTATGATAGTGAAAATAGCACTGAATGCTGTTCCGGCAACAAATATTAGGAGAAATACTCGGTGGAGCCTCATGTGGCGTTTCGTGTCGAAAATAGATAACAAAATTAGGCCTGCACCGCCAACGAAGGACCATACGATCGCAAGGCTTGACATGACTTTCTCACGTCGCCTCATATTTGGAAGCAGCCTGGCAAGTACTAATATTCAGACATTGTTTGTTTTCATATTGGAAACTGGATTCACCTTCCCTCGTGTCTTGCCCATCTCTCGACGGCCAGACTGAGGAAAAATCCGACTGCAGTGATAGAACACCCGACTATGAAGAGGGGCTTCAGAATATCGGCCGCCACATCGGAGATATATGCGATAGTCTGGTCTGAATCCATGGACACATAGTGCGGTCGCCCCGAGGCGAGCCAGGTTACAAGCAGAGCTTCAGAGAATACATGAGCGATTCAATACAAAATCGGGAGGAAAGAAGCATAAAAAAGTGTTCGCTTATACTCACCAAGAATTGTTCCAAACCACATGACTGCAGCTGCCAGGGGGATCCAGACATAAAACCAATGATGCCTGTGCCTGTGCGAGCCTGGATAAGAGACACTATTGTGCCGCGCGACTGCTGGTCGTGCTGCAGGCTGAGAGAACATGGTGGGTGTTTGAAGAGAGGATAGATGACATTACGAGCGAGCATTATGCACCATGACTGAGAGAGTTGTTGGAGTCTTGTCTAAGCCCAGAGTAGCTTGACGTCATGGACGAAATTGGATGAATTACATAAGTATATTATATATCTAATCTAATATTATATCATCATTTCCACTTTTGCACTGCCAAGTCCGCTTCGTCCCATGTTTATCATCTGTTTATCCTTCCAAATTCATATGGTATGAGACACAACCAAAGGATACCAGAATTCACGATTATTTTATTAGCGTTTTCGCCCCCGCTCTGGATTGGTCCTCACACATGACTTCCTTGACAGCTAAACTCTTGGCATATCAGTCTTCCAAATCTCTAGTGTACTGTGATGTCGCAGAACCCGCACCGGCCCAATTATGAAGGCACACTCCGTACCAGATCACTGCTCTTTCATTATGTGAAAAAGTAAACGCTTCTGCTCCTTCCTCCGAGCTACAATGGATGGTATAACGCGCCACGAGGATGAGGTCGGAACTCCCCTTTTATGCTTCCTCCGAGGCTGAGTACAGCTGTTATCGCTGGCACACGGGCACCTCTGATTCTGTGCAACGTTGACTCTATGGCATGCCCCGAAAGGCCAACGTGGTCTTGGTTTTTCTCTAATCGGAAACAGTGCAAGGCCGTTATACTTTTACAGGTGTTTCCAATTAACACTATTAACTCTGCCAAGGTTTCACACTACGGTGAAAGTCAAAGCTTATCACTAATCATTCATTCAATTTACGCCTAGCTGACTGAAACTCCCAGCGTGGGACCTTGCAGGACACTACGCTAATAGTGTTATGCTCGACTGGTTATGAATAAGGTCATCAAGATTTGCCCCAGGAGTCTGCGGGCGGGGCGGCAATCCGAAGTGAACCCTACCTCGGATATGATGAACTTGCAGGTGAGATGCGCCTTCCATCAAAGCGTATACGATACCACGTTGCACACATATCATTATGCTAATGTCAAATATCCATAGTGCTCCTGTACGTCACCGAGGCGTTACTTAATGCAGAACGCCTTCGCGCGGTTCCTCCAGGAGTCAATCACGACGGGAAATCTGTGTATCCTCTAAGAAGTTCGCATCGCTCCTTGATTCTCGGAGACTATCGTGTTCTATGCCACATGCAGGTGTCATGAACTTAGAATGCTATCATGCATGTTCCGCTATGATAAACTCGTTACTTGGTAAGATTACGTACCGTCTTATTTCGTATGTAAACTGATTGTAGCGACTGAGCGACCGGACGGCGACGCTTGCAGAGCATTGTGAAATCATTCCGCGATGTCCGGAATTATCCTTGGCATCAGTTAAGTGCAAGGCCCACTTGACGTCTTCTTCGTGTACCGTTTGTCTTCCATTGTCTGCAGTCGGAATGTATTATTTCATCTGATACGGTGGCTGCAGAAGTTTCGGCGTGCCATAATGGTCCGCGAGCTGCACTAGTACTGTGGTAATTATTGAGTGCCGGAATTTGCTCCCTGCACATCATCTACCATGACAGCTTGGTCTCGAGGACGTCGGAAAGGTTGTCAACATACTTGGCAGCCTACACGAATGATCCGTGGAGATATGGCCTTGTAGGGCCTATCTCTGTCAATCCAGGTTCGTGCTTTCCTAGTGCAACAAGGTTGGAATTCTACATAATTCTGCTTTTAGCGTCTTTGCCACCGAGCTAGACATCTGCCAGCGAGATACGATTACGCCTCGGCGCATTCAGTCGATTCAAACTTGACCTTTTTGACTGATAATTATCCTGCGGAGTGTGAGGACAAAGGAGGATTCAATTGCATGCTGCCTGATATCTGGGGAATTGTTGTTTCCCAGTAATTCGCCCAATCAAACGAGATCATGTGATCTTCGTGCGGAAAGCCGGAAGAGTCCAGAGTGGAGCAACGGGATCAATTCAAGCATTACAAGTTTGTCTATTTTTTTACTGGATTTGGTCGATCGGGGCTCGATTTGGGGCGTCATTGATAGTCATATCTTCCGAGGCGACACAGCAAAACAATGACTAGAAGTCATAGTCGTATCTCTGCAATCAAAGCGCGGCGTTTCCAGTGTCTTGGAGCACCGTTGCCCTGGGCGCCATCGGTGAGAAGTTCCGCAGACTTCTCAGTCTAACAGGCCCAACTATAAGTGCGGTCCTTGTTTGTTTCTTCCAGGCTCAAACTTCGTCATTTCCCACGATTCTCTTGGCAGGAGCTAAGGTTCTCCGCCGGTTTGGTTACCTCCCCAGTGGTATAAAGCCATCGTTCAGTCAACCTCCAAATTACCGTATCTCTCCCTTCTCGTACCCAGTTCAACTCATTCTCCCATGTCTTCTCGAGCCGAAGAGAAAAGACGTATGTCTGATGATGACGTTCAAGAGCCTGTTGACCACCGCAAACGACGCCGTAATAGGACAACCCAATCCTGCTTGAACTGCCATGGATCCAAACGAATGGTTAGTCATCACTGTGAACATAGTCAATCCAATTCTAACTATCCTTGTAGTGCGATAGGTAGACACTTCGCTGTAGTAATTTCGCAAAGTGTAATGCTCATCAGAACACCATGGGTTAGGAAACGCCCAGCCTGTGGTCGATGTGTCAAGCTTGGGCTTGTACGTTGCCTATTCATACTATCCACACTAATTGCCTATTCATCTCATTTCTCTCTCTAGAGCGGAACTTGCGTCTACGAGGTCGATGATATAAACAGAAGGTACTTTTGTTACAACCTTTATACGCGCTTGATTCCGTTACTTACAACACTGATGCATCTATTAGGGATCCTTCACAAAACGAGGTTACCCTTCTCAAAAACAGGATTGCCGAGCTGGAAGGCTTCATTCGCGAATACAAGCGGAAGCCACATCCACGCTTGTCTACCAATGCCAAGAAGCGCTTTGGTTCCTCCATTCCATCGGGCCTTGGCTTTGACAACGGGGCAGAGAGTGATTCTTCTTCGGATTCGAAGGACGCAAGGTCTCTCCGGCCAATCAGAGTAACTTCGTACGCCGAAAGCTCTTCTGAATCTGACAATCTGCCCTGTACTCCGTCAGTCCAAGGAGATGAGCCGGTCTTCCTTACAGCCCAGACCAGCGATGTACCTCCGCAATCTACTTCTGGATCATCTATCTCCCAATCTGGTGATCTTGATTTTTCACCTGATATCCTAAAGTCAATGGCGAATAGTGCAATGGATATCGATGTGATCTTTGATTTCGCTAGTAACGGATTTGGACCTGGTGAAGGCGACGCGTTGGAGCGGGTTTTCGCTCGTATCATGGAGCAGGACTCACAAAACGCGTCTCATGTCTCCCAGTGTCAATGCAGAGAACAACCATCAGCGCGTTCCATTCTACGCGAGCTTACTCCACATTTACGCAGAGCGCTGGATAGTATGCGCTCTTCCCCGGAGCATCAGGCGGAGAGTCCCGAGTTCGGATCTTCGTGCTCTCTATTCGGTCAATTGCAACACATCCACGAAATGATATCGTGCGTATCTTTTTTCCAAATCATTTACACATTCAGGGGTGCTGATAATTTCGATGTGCTTTCATGACAATAGGTCCATCGTGGAAACACCATTGGAAATCCAACCACTCGCTCAGATGGCAGATTCTCCACAAGTAATTCACTCAAGCGAATCTGCAATCCGTCCGCCCCAAGTTAGCGGAGAAGATTCGCCTTTGCAGCGCGTTCTCGCGGCGCGCAGAGCGGGTCTTGTGCCACAACCTGTATTCGATCGACTTTCAGCACCAACAACCACCGTTGGAGTCCAAAGTAAATCATGGAGGGGGAGCACAGTCCAGACATCATGGGAAGCAAGCGAGGCTTCCTCAAGTTCTGGCCAGGCGTCTACAGACAACGACCAGCTTATGTCTTGGGAACCTTGGCCTCGTGGCGAATGGCCGAGGACGATCACTTTATGAGTCCGTGGTGTGGGGATACGCGCTGCTGCGCAGTGGATCGGATTGTTTGTATCTTGTACCTAAGGCGGGCTTTTGCTGCAGGAAGCACTGATTAGACAATTTAAATGAAAAGCTAATGGTGTACTGAAAATATCGCGTTTGCCTTCACTTTGCACGCGGGCGTTCTATAGAGTATCAATTTTAGAATTAAATTATGTGACTCTTCGGTGGGATTAGACTTCAGGCTTGTATTCATTCTCTAGTTCAATTGCTTGTATGTTACCGCGTGAGTTTCATGAATCGCACGGTATTTAAATCGTTATGCCAGATGCGCAGCAATTTCAAGCCGTGCAATTGTCTCCTATGGACCGTGCAGATCGGGGTGGAGGCTTTACTGCGATCTAACAAACAAGATGACCTCTTCACTGACCTCATATCGGGTTTCATATGAAGGACTCAGGCTTGTATGAGAATAACCTAATACATTATCGTTGGGGACACCCGTGGTTCGACTTCGATGAGTCTTGCTTCGCTGAATTATGAGAAAAATAGACTAGGGGTGGTATGAGTATGGGAACCTTCGGAACGAAGATCTGTAGGCAGTAACAAACGATATGAAATTCAGAACGGGCGTAAACCACTGAGAAGTGTCGTTCCACGCCAAGGTTGAATGTCCGGGATTCTTTAGTTAGTTGCACGCTCAGTGGCTCACTTTGCGGGAAGGAAATGGGTAGATAGGCAGTTGTGGCGAGTAGTGGGATAACTGCGATGATGTGACGTTAGGGGTCAAACTACCAGGTCTTACAGAAGGATTCAGGTCCTAAGGAACCTGATAAACTCACACGTATACTATGTTCCAGCCTCACGGATTGTAGGTGAACTTGGAACTATCCTAGGTCGAGATAGATGTGAATGACATGATAAGGCGATAATCTTATCAGATACTACACAGACCTAAATATATCTCGCAGCAGTGAATACACTGCGAACCGTTGGAATGGATAACATACATATCGTGGGACGTCTGCCGTGTGCTGCAGGGACTGCGTAACTTCCTTGTTCCTGAAGGTATTGAGTTGTGTAACGGACCTTGGGACGGAAATTATCGACCAATGAATCAATGATTCGACTATAAGACAGACAACCCAATTTAAAACTTCCTTCAACAAAGCGGCTAAATAATTTATAGGGCGTATGGTCTCTGTCGATTTGTCACAAGTGTCGTGGATGAACTGCGAAGAAAGATATGGCATCATGACGGAATCGTATCAATGATCCGCTAGCAATCTCGTCAAGCTCGTTCCAAATGGGGAAATCTCCTTGGGAGGACGCATAGCAGAATCCTATAAGCTTTCCCATTGGCTATCAGGTACATGTACACCCCATCAAAATCATTTAAACTAGTGCCCGGTGAAGAGCAAAGTGCTTTGTATGTAATGGATGCAAATATATAAGCACCTCGGGCCAGATACACAAATAACCAATTGTGAAGCTATTCTTCAATTTTACCATCAAACCAAGTGTGAGGTATTTAAGCGCATTCAAGAACAATGTCAGACAAGAGGAACTCCGATGGATTTGGTCGAGATGGTCAAAGGAGTACTTCGGATGCTGCGCCAGCCCACAGTAGGCAGAGGTCATCAAACTCTCCGCGTGGGAGAAGATCCTACAGAAAAGCGTCAGAGGACAAATACGATGAACAGCCCCCTACTGTCAGCGCACCGGGTATTTCTGTGTCGCACCATGGAGAACAAGGTAAAGGTAATGAAGCTTGTATGTGGCCAACAAGCAACATTACTATTTGACCTTTTGTGCTAACAATATACAGATCAATACCAGCAACAGTCTTACGCTTACGAAGAAATGGATATGTGTGAAGAGTCCCCTTCTGATGAGGAGATGGGAGACTATGACCAACCGAGTCATGCGGGAGGTAAGAAGAGAAAAAATAAAGGGAATGATGATGGGCGAGAGGCAAAGAGGCGGTCTGGGGATAACAGTCCAGCAGGTGGAGCGTCACGAAATGGTCCAAGCACCTGGTCTTCCTAACCTTCGGATAGTGATTCGCTGGAGAAAATATCTCTACTTCCCTTCTCGCTCACTGCGGTTTCATTCGAGGCAGTTTTTATTGTAATAGGGAGGATAGTGAGATTGACAGTTTTAATAAAGAGATAGAATAAGTGCCTGGATAAGAGGCCGAAAAGAGTGCAAGAGTACTTTAGGCTAAGTGACAAATACACATCTAGGTCAGTGGGATACTCCCTCTCTCCCCCAACTACTCGACTTCAGGACAAAGGAAAACCGTTTAAGGACATCGTGTACCATGTCTTTACGTGACATCCCTAATAAACGAAGTCAGTGATCCCGACACATCTTCTAGTTTTTTTTTTGCTGCTTTGCGACGCGAAACCAAATTCAATTGAAACAATACAGAATTTAGAACTAAAACTGTCAACAAATGTAATCAGAAGCATTAGAAATTTGTGGTAGGTGGTCCGTAGCAGTGAACAGTCTTAATACGCTATCGGGACACACTGGTGCAACATCACTGCTTAAGCGTGCCAATAACGGCCTTCGGAGCGTACCGAGGGATAACCTGCAAAGGTCATCGGAACACTCAGTATTGTTGTTTGCAGACAGAAAAAAAATGCAAACAAACCTTCGGGTCATGTAACATGTTGAATTCCTCCGTTGCGTCCCTCCCTGCATATAGCAGAATTGCTTTCTCACCACCTGGATGCTCTGGTAGAAACTCTGTCACATCTAACACCTGACCATTTACGATTACCCAGCAATCATCCTTTTTGTTGTGTTTAGCTACCTCCTCAACAGTGAAAGCCCCTGACGTCGACTCTTTCTCCTTAACCTCCTGCTCTTTCTTTCCTTGTGCCGCTGAGGGGTCGGAAGAACTTGCCGGTACGGGTTCAGTCGATGGCGTTGACGACACGGCTGATGACGAGGTGGTAGGGACTGGTACACTGGGCGTCGGGACTGACGATGGTTGAGCACCAGAATCGGCCCATGAGAATGTCAGATTAACTTTGCTCTGCTCGGGAGTGATCGTGATTGTTGTTGATAATGGAGCACCCAAGTGACCTGCGACAGCTCCGAGGCGGCCCTTCGCCTTGTCGGCGGCTCCCGCACCCTTCTGCAAAAGATATGCTGCGGCGGAGTCCCCAGCAACACGACCAAAGACAACACAGCCTAACAATGAACTTCCGCCCAGACGATTGGCACCGTGTACTCCACCGGCAACTTCACCAGCTGCGAACAGACCAGGGATGGCTGCATGGTCTTCATTGGTAAGCACGCGTGACTCGGCATCAATCTCAAGACCACCCATAGTGTAATGTAGTACGGGAGTCATAATCGCCACATGGAAAATATCTTCCATCTTCCAGTCAGCATGGTGGAAGAACTTCTTTCCGAACGGATCCTTCTGCGTCTTCGCACCAGCACTATAATCGGCGAAGGTCTTTGCAAGAGCAGATGCAGGTATTCCTATCTCCTTCGCAAGGTCGGCACCAGATTCGAATCGCTTCATGAGTCCACGACCAACGTAGTGCTTGCAATGCCATTCAATTTCCTTCGATGCACTACCGTTAAGGACGAGGCGGATGGGATACTAGAAACAATGTTTAAGTTCAGTCGTCTAAAAGCACAGCCAAAGATACGTACCTTGCCATTCTCCCAGATCTTGCCCGTGACGTAGTCGCGCGTTTGCAACTCATCGACGAAACGCTTGCCGGTATTGTCCAGCAGTAGACCTCCAACACCTCGTAATGCTTCAGCAGCAAGGAATTTTACTTTTGCATTCGGATCATTCGGATCAACAAGACCAGTAGGGTGTACTTGGACCTTCTCGAGATCGATACCAGCGGCTCCGACAGCCATTGCAAGCTTCTGGCCATCACCCGTGCAATGTTCACCGTTGGTCGTTGGAAGGTCCCATAATTCTGGCCTGTACTTCTTTAACAAAGAATCGCTCGTGAAGTCTGCCGCGTAGCCACCGGTAGCAATAATGACAGGACCATGTGCTTGCTCCTTCTTCCCGTCAACTTCGTACTCAACACCGATGACAGCTCCAGATTCATCCTTGAGCAAGCGTGTTACCTTTGCCTTCTTTCGAATCTGCACTCGCTCAGGCGTGCTTTGAGCAAGGTCCTCCAGACGCTCCATCTGGGCATACGTGATAACCATACCCGGAAACTGCGCGCCACCACGGTGTGTGCGGGGCTGGCTGTGACCACCAAGTCGCGAAACCTTGCTCAGATCGAGTCCAAACTTTTCCTGTAGCCAGTTGACGGCATCGCCCGAACGGCCCGTGAGTACTCGGATGAGGTCGTCACGAGCCAGATCCTTCGCTGATTTCTTTGTGTCATCGAAGAAAATCTTCGCACTATCCTGGATTCCCAGTGCTTGCTGAGAAGCTGTACCAGCACCGTTAATGCCGGAAGTTGCTTTGGTCGAATTTCCGCCCATAAAACTGCAAGGAAATCAGTAACATGTCCGGATCCGAGACAAATGACATATAGGGACTTGTTCAAGGAAAATATCATAGTCATCGTCGCTTAGTCACCGAAAGGCATTGCACAGACAGGACTATGTAGCAAATATGAACCGCCTGTAGCGAAGAAATTCGCCCACAGGACATATATGAACCGTCCATAGCCGAGCGGGCGGACAAGAGCATCGGTTTACTTTGCTTCGACGATGCCGTAAGCACTGTCAACAACTTTCCAATACAAACCCCAACGACGGCTGGGACACTAGCATGTAATAGTAGTTGCCAATTGTGTAAAATCGATACAAAGGAGGCAGGCGGATGGAAGGAGAGGAAAAAGAGACTACAAAAAAATAGTCAACACTCACGGTTGCTTGTCAAGCAATAGAACGTTTGCGCCACGCTCAAGAAGGGTGTGTGCTGCAGAAAGGCCTGCAAGACCACCACCGACTACAATAGCCTGAGCCATTCTTTGCACGATGATTAGCTGTGAGAGTGGGAGGACGGTGAAGGGAGGTAGAGTGGACGATAAAGAGGAGAACAGGACGGAGTCGTATTTAAGAGCGGCGGGAACGAGACGGATATCACGTGGCACGTGCCGTGATGGTAATGCATGTGATTCCTTTCCCATCCGCTTATTAAACGGGTCTTTCCCATTCGCCGTCGACCAGTGCTTCCGACTAACCTCGAACTCGAAGAGTACAATTCTAATTACTCGGTCCGTTGTTCAAGGCGCAGATGGTTTTTACGAATGTTTATGTATCCGGAGTGTGCAGCAAGGTACGGAAAGAAGGACGGAAACGGATCTGATACGGAAGTCACTTATAGTCAGGTAATCCGCACACTCCAGCGGAATTAAACCATGCGAAAAATAAAAGAATAATGCTATTTCTTTATATCTTTACTGAAAAGGAAAATCAATAGGGGAAGGCAATACACTGGTTTCTGGATATTCGAAAGCATTAAAACCAAGCGTACACAGTCAATACCAGCAGATTGACAAAAGTTGTGAGTGGTCATTTGCCCTTTGTCTTATTTATAGACGCGTTAATCCGCTCGCTCCGCTTAGGCGGACGTGGGATCTTGCGGACTTGATCGGAACCCATAGCAGAGAGAGCATCTCCGGGATTTGAATAGATAAAAATGCACTTATTGGACTGTTCCTGGAAAGCGGAGATAGACACGCCAAACAACAGTTACTTTACTTTGCGAGTCATACAGGAGTGTCCACCGTACGAAATCAACTATCATCAAGCGATGGGTAAGTATAACAATTCTGTTTTCTATTTCCACTCTACATGATAAGTCCAACTCCGTTGAGTCGATCGTTTCTAACTTACAACCTTGGCACACAGAATTCGCTTTTTTTATTTTAATAGGCCTGCATCAGTCCCGGATGTCGTATCGTTGACATTTCAATCAGTTAAGATGCAACTACGTCTACATTTTCTCCATACGTTCTTAACCTGCAATAATACAGAGATCTCTCGTCTTCAATGTCCTCAAGGCGTGCACCTGCTAAGTCTCTGTTTTCTTAAGCAATTCAATATTCCGTGTAATGCTTATCTAGCTGAAGAGTCAACAGGCTACTCAACCTATCCGACCAGGACTCGAGACCCAGTATAACTCTTAAAAGCACATTATTCTTCAGTGTTAATAGTAATGATGATTAGAAATTTATCTATCTTTCCAGTGCACTCATAAGATGACGCTTACTATACACTTAGGACTTTCGTCTCTCCATTCTCGAACTTTGCTTGGTGAGCAAAGGTCAAAACATTCGTTGGAGTGCAGACGAAAAATAGAGACAATGGAACGAGCAGCCTAGTACAACCAATAATAGTATGCAAGTAGAGACATACAAGCCGACGAAAGTAATTCTCGATTAGTCAAAAAATAAATTCAAGTTTGCTCGGACCTTATCAGCTCTTAGTGTAATGACTTTAGACTCGTCACTCACAAAGAGTCCTTTGTAAGTTTTTGAAATCTTCTTTATGTCCTGTTTCGTTTGTGTCTCCTCAGTCCGTATCTTGCCCCTCAATTTCTCGATTTCATCGTTGTATCTACCGTACCTCGCTGCTAGAATGGTGTCTGTCCCTTCTGATACCTTTAGCTGTTCCAGGATGGGCTTCAACTGATCGTTGCTTTCTCAATCCGGATCTTGCTGGATAAACTGCACAAACTTCACAACGTTCTGATCACTTTTCAGTGCTTTCTGTGCCTGCTCAACTTCTCGCTAGCCAGTGTTACTAGACAAGTGGCTGCTTCTGCGTCTCGAGGCCATGTTACTATCTTCAAGGTTTGTTGACTGTGTACTTGGAGGAGATGCAATATACAACGGCTTTCTTTTGTAAAATACTGGTCCGATCTCGTCGCCTTATATTAGAGTCGACTACTTTGCACAGGAAACCATGCCAACGCAGTGCTGCCATTTTGGTCTACTTTATCCTGTGTACTCAAATGTGCAAAACAAATGATGCAGAAAGAAGCGAACTGCATGACATTTCCTCAGAACCGAAGGTTCATTTCCTCCAGACAAATAATATCGAACTACCCATATTACTTTCACATGTTTATCGCCACACAGTCTCTAGATTGATACCGAGTTTATATCGTTTGCTGATCTCGACATTTTATAGCGATCACCCTGTACACCCTTCGTTGGCAAGCGTGGCTTGCCGTACGTCCATCCTTGCTAAGGATCGCTTCGTCTTAACTTTGCTTGATGTCTCTGCTCTTTCTATGCATTGGGTGATCTTAGAGAGAATTTCTGGCAGAAAATCAGATGAGACTGATACCATCAAGCACAGTGCATCAGATACACCCGATACGTAAGTCATATATGCTGCACTGGATTCCCTAAGGGGGTGGGGGCGGGTGTTCTGTGGCAGAGATAGGCAATCTGGACCACATTTGCTTTACCTTGCAATTTTGTACAGCAGTATCTACCAATCAAAATCCAAGCTATTGAGCTATCTAATTTTCAGGATTCTCTTTCCTCTTTTCATTTTACAATACAATGTAAGTCCAACTCTATTGAGCTGAACATTTCTATCCTATCACAGTTTGTATAATATAGAAATGGCTTTTTGTTCACCACATACCAAATTGTCAAGGTTTAGCCAGTTATACCTTGGTTTCCTTAAGCAGATAAATATTTCGTGTAATAATTATCTAGATTTATGTCCAACAGACTATTCAACTGATTTGTCTACAACCCAAGACTCAATGTAGGCCTCAAAACATGTAATGGTTACAACAATTACAATTCCATCCAATAAATATTCACTGTAAAACATATTTGATAATCCTTGCTGTGTACTCTGCACTTCGTTTCTGTGCATTCCTACTGTGCTTGATAATCGAAGCAGGGTCATACAAGCCCACGAAAGCAATTTTCGATTGGCCTGCCTGATACTCATAAACATAGATTAATTACCCCGTAACTAATCATGCAAGGCTTGGACCAAGTAAATATTATTCGTTTCAAAAATTAGACTCCCTACAAGCGAAACAGTACAGAGAAACGTTCTAAAACTAATTTCTCTCGGTGGTAGTATCAATCGTCTTTCCGATAATATTAATCCACTCATGCATGTCATTGTTACTGATATCGCGGTCGCTGGGAACGGTGATGTCATACCCTTTCAACTTCTCCCGGATCATATCAGCCCTTAGCGCAATGATTTTAGACTTATCACTTGCGAAGAGGCCATGGTATGCTGTTGCAATCTTCTTCTTTTGGCCTAACTGAACAATTTTCCTTGTGTCCTTTACCAATTGCCTTTGTTCTTCCTGTATTTGATCTTCGAACTTCTCGATAGCACCAGAGTGCTTACCTATACGCGCCAATAGAATAGTCTCTGTCGTTTTTGATACATATAGCAGAGCTGAGATGGGCTTCAACTGATCTTTTTTTTCAGGTCCCTATCTTGCTGGATAAATTGTACAAATTTCACAACATTCTGATCACTTTTCAACGCCTTCTGTGCCTCTTCAACTTCTCGCTGGACACTATTATCTAATAAGTAGCTGTTCCTCTGTCTATGAGTGGACATGATACTGTCTGCAAGGCTGCCAGCTTGTGTACTTGGCCAAGTTAGAGGAAGTGCAATATTAGGCGACTTGCTTCTACAGGATGCATGCCCTGCTTTCCCGTTTTTTTATAACAAAAAGTCATTACTTTGCTCAAGAAACATGACAACACAGCTTAGCCATTTTGGTGCCAGAAAGTGCAAACTACTTAATCTGAGAACATACACGTGTAACAGAAAGAAGTATTACACATGACCTTTCTTTAGAACTGATCTGTCATTTTGCACCAATATGCTATTTCATAACTTTACTTGTTTGTCACCATACAGTACCTGAATGAACACCAGGGTAATGTATCATTTTCCAGCATAAATAGTTTCTGAACTCTTACCCTGTATACTTGTTTTTCTTTTCCTTTTCCTTTCCTTTCATTTTTTTAAATTACAAACTTGAATGAAGGCCTGTTTGTCTTTAGTAGTGATAGTATATATCTTTACTTTGCCTAATGTTGTCTTCTTGTACTCAATGTATACAGGGATCTTGGATGAAATTTGTGGTCTAATTCAGGATAGTATTATATATAGAGTATTAAACACATCAGAATCAGTACTACAAATACAAATATAACTAGAGTTCCACAGTGTACTATAATTATTCATACTATATATAGTACAATCTGTAATTGTAAACAGTACACTACTCAAAAATTACAGCTTTTAATTTACAAGTTATAACTGTAATCAGCTTACTAATTATAACTGTATACAGTTATATCTTTGTTAAATAAATGTACATTGTTATAAACACAAGTAAGCTACTATATAGTAAGTCCTTCCTATTATATACATATCTAGATACTCTTAATATGCTCTAAACATAGTTTTCTTATAGAGTATGAGTTAGAATACAGTATTATTAGTTTTTAGAAACAACTCTTGAAAGCTTTAATAAGAATATAAGGATCTAATATAATACTATTTCTTAAAAGCTCAAAAAACAGTAATTATGTGTGTACATATATATACACTTGTACTATAATTGTAATAGATTTTAGAACAAAAATTATAGTTGTAAATTTACAATCTGAAAACTGTAATTGTTTTGTATGTATACAGTATATACAGACTAAGTGTAATCTATTTATACTGTACTAAATAATTTAACAGTTATAAAACAATAAGAAGGAAATTGCCTTTTATCTATGTGAATTAACTTTGTTCTTAAAGCTCAATTGTAAATATAAGGATAAAGTTGTTAGATTGTATTAGTTTGTACACAGTACTATTTGTTGTTACTCTAATAATAACTATAAAAAGTAGAGACTAAAAAGTATTTATATAACAACTTAAAATAGTAAAGTGTACTTTATTTACAAACAGAATTAATCACAACTTGAGTCTTCTAAAATTAAACACTGTGTTTAACAGGTGTATA